AAAACGCTACGAATTAATTCCAACACCTAATAATTTAAAGTTAATTTAATTATAGCTCGAAATAAGCCATGACATTGTGTTAATTTTTATTCAAACAATTCATAGGTTTATGTGCAATTTTGAAATCAAATTTTTGTGTAAATAATTTTAAATTTTTCTGATATTTTATTAAAATAAGGAATATGAATTAAAATAAGAAATAATGAAATACTTTTTTGTAATATCTGTGGAATTCGAGTTGACCACATCATATTTTTTGATATTATCAAAATTATTTTGAAAGACAAAGATTTTATCCTGTTATTAATTATTGAAAAAAGGAATTCCAAGGGGTATCTATTATTTTGAAATGTATTAATTAGACATATATTTTTCTCATGAAATTTAGGATGAGGAAGGAATAGAATTCTGTCAAACTGTTTGATGACAACGCCTTTTTTGTGTTCTATATAGGATGATTTGAATTGAAATTCAAGTATCTACCAGAATTAGTAGACTTTTTGTAATTGTCAAAAATAATTCTTTCCTCCTCTATTAACATTTTTACATTCAGAAAATTTATTTCTCTATCATCGCTATATTCAAGTGAAGTTAATTAATAGTATTTCTTTCATGGTATGAATTGAATGAGCAAAGAATTGTATTAATTTGATTTTTTGAAGCTGGACAATATCAAGAATGATAATACATAGCGATAATAGATTTAAGCCACCTCTAATTTTTCAAATTTATTATATATTGAATATATGACAATTAAAAGACTAGGTACATAGTCTAAACTAAAAAAACTTTAAATAAGTTTTTTAGGATTCTGAAAAAAAAATGTAACAGGTACAGTAAATATTTTTATATTTTTTATTTTACAATTAAACTTATAAAACTTTCATTTATTTGCTTGTCATTTTAACAACAAGACTGTTATTAAAATAAAAACAAAGATACAATTATACGTCAAAAATAAAACAAACCTTTCTGTAATTGCACTACTGTTGGAATATCTAATTGTAAGTAGAAATATAGAATAATTTTAAATATTTCAGTAAGAAGCTAGATTTTAAAATATAAAACAAGAAATTATGTAAAAAAAATACTGGAATTTTTAATCTACATTGTTTTCTATTTTTTGGTCACTACATCAAATCTTTAGGAATCCAAATATTGAAAACGGATTTTAGCATCAATTAGATTTTAGATTTAGTGAACAGTCATGTTATTATTCTATCAGCGATTTATATTCTCGATGAGAATATTGAAAGAATATTGTTTTATATTATACATTAATGTGGAAAACATGAATAAAACTTATTTGTGCATAAAACTATAAAAAAACAAATTTTGTCAAAATTATCAATAAATTACCATTTTACCATAATTTTACCAAAAGTAATTGTCAAATTGAATTTGACGACAATTTTATATTTCTAATTAGGCTGCATTTCATAAAACATTCCATTTTTCCTTGTATAACATTTGGTGAACAATAAGGGTAAAATCACATCATGCACATCATGTGTTTTACGGTATGCAACCTAACATACCAAATCACAAGTGCGTACATAGATTTAAATATGACGCCAATCCCCACTGTTCATCACGTGACTCTCTGTAGTTCGCAGTATCCGAGGACAGAACTTAGCGGCGCTACGAAAATGATTGTCTCTTTTGCCAAGAGTAAATTTATACTCCCTATGTTTGATAGTTGTCTTTTATCAATCGCGGTGAATGCTACGTGTCTAAGTGAATAACATCATGTTCAAGACGTGAGTAATGTGTAATAATGTGTACGATATTCCTCTCTGGGCCATTAAATCTCGCTCGATTATTATACATTTATCAATTTACAAAAAAGAAATATATTTTTATTTTAATTACTTTGAATTATTTTTAATTAGAGATAAGGTATTTCTTCTATGTGAATTTTTTAATATTAAAAACAATATGTCGTATGCAAAATTTTATCAACACTTTAGGTTGCCGAAATAATTGAAGTTTAATATACCAAAATGGATTTTTTTTACGATATTTGACAATCTATTGTAAGAAAAATTAAGGATATTTTACAATTCTGATTAAAAGATCATGAAATATATTGTTCATTTTCTATGAAACATATTTTTTTTATTATGACTATCTTAATTACTTTTTAGCAAGATTGATAAAATTATGTTTTAAAATAAAATAAATGATTATAAAACATAAAATGATTATGTTTTAAACATATGGTCTGTTTTCTGTTCCTGCGCTAGACTATTTTAAAACTCTCTTTCTCGCTTTAAACAAATATCAAACATATATCTAACTCACTTTAAGTTCCAAAAGTATACACTAGTTCAGTCACAAAAAACAGACTTATGTTTTAAACTGTTTAAAACATGCTTAATCGATGTTTTTAATACGTTTTAAACATGTTCTTTTATAATAAAAAGTTTAAAGCATATATAAAGCATTAAAAATATGTTAAAAAAAAACGTTTTATTCTTAAGAATGTTTTATTCTTAAGAAACATTATCTTTTATCAACCCTGTTTTTTTAGTAATGTTGTGTAAGATTTAAATACAATGTTTTTCTAAGACAATTTTTTACTTATGACGATAAAATATAGCAAATCAGGGTCGATTGACATAAGTTTATTACAAAGTTAATAACTTAATTAGTATATAGCAAAACATTCTCTTCTTTATAGATGTTGATATGTGTGTCTCTGTAGATTGTTGATATAATATATTAAATTGTTGTGTAAAATAATTTAATTGCCCCAAAAACATTGTGTATATTACAAAATTTAAGAAAATGACATTGATATAAATTTAATAATATTTTAAATTTTTTAATATTTTTTTATTAATTTATGGCATTATTAAACGTGATTTCTTTATAATCATAGAAATTATACATCTTAGATAATGTTTACTGTAGTCAATTAATTATTATTGTAACAAAGTGTGTGAATATACATACTTCTTTTATGAACAATGATTATGTAAGATTGACCAAAATAAGTCGAAAATAATAAATAATTAATTTTAATCTCTTTAGATCGACATTCTTCTAGAGAATGGTTCATATTCAGAATGCACTTTTATAAATATGCGTTTTGAATACTGTCAATATATTTACGAATATAATTATTTCTCATAGGTGGGTAAATATACCGAATGAGAGACTACTTCAATGACCTTGACCTTAAATTAGTTGTCAAGATCATGACCTCCAACAGATTTTCCAACCCGTCGCTCGCTATTCGTTAAAAAATTATTAACTAAAAAAAGATTTAAAAAATAATGTTTTATTTCTGCCACATATAATATTAAAAACTAGTTTGTATCCTCCTCTGCTTACGTAATGGCTTTTTACACAAAGCAAGGTCCATCCCACCTCCCTTCTGCTTCGAGGTGTTCGATTTTCTACACAGAGCAAGATTCATCCTCATGAAAAGTCGTTACGTCCGTAAGCAGGAGTGAAGTGAGGTGGAACGTGGAAAAAGTCATAGTTCATATGTTTCTAGGCAGATGAGAAGGTGAAATGGAAGTTGCTTTGCGTGGAAAGTTGTATGCCCTGAGGCAGAGGGGAAGGATGGATGGATCTCACTTCATAAGATAATATTTAATGTTGTATATACAGGGTGTCCCGCAATTATTGATAAAACGTTCTTATGTATATACATACAATGAGACACACACATATGCCTGCGCGCGTGTAATATATGTGTGTATTATATATATATGTGTGTAATCTATATATGTGTAATATATGTTTAATATATACAGGATGTCTGATAAATTTTGACAAAGCGCTCGTGTGCAGAGCTAAACTGAGTCGAAAAATTTTCTATTCCATTTTGCAATTTTTGTTTTCGCAATAGTTAACAAGATATTAATTATTAAAAATGTCAAATATTGATCTTGAAGAATTTTTTACTCAAATACTATCAACTTTACAGAAAAACTGCAAGAGACAAAAATCATTAATTTTTTTTCATAAAGTTCTGAGAATTTTTTCAGAATTTTTTCAGAATTTTTTAATACTGTATTTTCTCATGTTGGTAAAAATAAGAACTTCAGTATTAAATAGTTGACAAAAAATTCTAAAAAAATTCTTAGAGTTCTATAAAAAGGAAATAAATAATTTTTATCTCTTGCAGTTTTTCTGTAAAATTGATAGTATTTGAGTAAAAAATTGAAGACCAATATTTGATAATTTTTAGTAATTAATATCTTCTTAATTATTGCGAAAATTGAAAAATGGTACAGAACTTTTCGACTCAGTTTAGTCCGCTCTATCTACAAAAGCGGTTGGCAAAAACTTACGGGACACCCTGTATATTACACACACATATATAATACACATATATATATTCACGAACGCACGCGTTTCATTGCATGTATATTGATAGCCAAACTAGAAATTATAAGTAGAAAGTGTAATTACTAAAGTAATATTGTATGATTTCATCGTTATAGACAAAAAATTAGCTATCTCAGAAAAATTCTGTATTTAAATTTGTTATAACTAAAACTCAAAAGTAGATAAGATATTGAAATATATTTTATGGACAACGCATTTATAATTTCGATTAGAATTTCAAGATAATTTTATTTATAATAAAGTCAAATATCGCAAAAGAGTTATTTTTCATAAACATCAATTATTTAACAAAAATTTAATTGGAAAAATTTAACTTGTATAATATTGCATGTGTTTTTAGCATTGAAAAATCTATTAGGTGTTGGAATTAATTCGTAGCGTTTTACAAGAGATGGCACAAGCAGTACACTATTTCGTTGTTACCTATAGTTCTGTATACATTGTAAACATCTATCATAGGACGTCATTTGCCGTACATAACCTTTCTTGAAATCATAAATAACAATACTGTATAATTCATTGAATATGTCAAAATTTGTGCCAGATAAAGTGTTTTTGCGGGGAGTTTTGCTTCATTATTTTAATATGAACAAAAGTGCAGATGAAGCTCATCGTATTTTAGTGGATGTGTATAGTGAACATGCTCTGGCTGAGCAAACGTGTAGGAAGTGGTTTGCACGTTTTAAAGCTGGTGATTTCGACTTGGATGACAAGGAGCGACCTGGTCAGCCGAAAAAATTTGAAGATAACGATTTGCAGGCACTGCTCAATGAAAACTCATGTCAAACACTTAAAGAATTATCTACGTCATTGGAAGTTGACTTCTCAACAATAGGAAAACGTCTTAAAAGTTTGGGCATGATCCAGAAGGAAGGACATTGGGTCCCATATGAATTGAAACCAAGGGATATTGAGAGACGTTTTCTCACGTGCGAACTGCTGCTTCAACGGCAGAAAAGAAAAGGTTTTTTGCATCGGATTGTTACCGGTGACGAAAAGTGGATCCATTATGACAATCCAAAGCGCAGAAAGTCATGGGTTAAGCCCGGCGAACCATCAACATCAGTGGCAAAGCCCAATATCCATGGCTCAAAGCTCCTGCTCTGTATTTGGTGGGATCAGAAGGGTGTCATATACTACGAACTGCTAAAACCGCATGAAACCGTTACTGGAGATCTCTACCGACGGCAACTGATGCGCTTGAGCCGTGCATTGAAGCAAAAACGGTCGGAATACTTCGAAAGACACGATAAAGTCATCTTGCTGCACGACAATGCTCGCCCACACGTTGCAAAACCGGTAAAAACATACCTGGAAACACTTAAATGGGAAGTGCTACCGCACCCGCCGTATTCTCCTGATATTGCACCTAGCGACTACCACTTGTTTCGATCATTAGCTCATAGCTTGTGCGAGCAGAAGTTCACATCTTACGAAGATTGTACAAAATGGTTCGATTCCTGGATTTCATCTAAAGATGAACAGTTCTTCCGACGCGGTATTCATTCACTGCCCGAAAGATGGTCAAAAGTAGTAGAAAGTGATGGGAAGTACTTTCATTAATGTATTTTTTAATGCTCATGTGAAATAAATAACATTCTTTCATTAAAAAAACGCTACGAATTAATTCCAACACCTAATATAAAAAACAAACTTTGGTTGGTATTCAATTCCTAGCACGAAATATTACGGCAATATTGCAGCAATATTACTTGGAAAGATATTTGTATCAATATTACAATATTACAATATTACAATATTTTATAATATATTGCTACATTGTAACAATATTGCTATGTCCACTAAAATAAAATATAATATTGCTATTACATTTTCATTGCTTAACATGACATTATAAAATTCACACGGTAAACTTATGATTAAAAAATATTATTCGGTAGAAAGCATACCTGAAAGGACTTTGGGATCTCTAGAATACTTTGGGATCTCTAGGATACTCGATTCAATGTTTCTTGTAGGATAACTTATTATGAAATAAGTCGGAATGGATTTCTGATTGGAATTATTTCGTTTTCCCTTAAAAACGCAATAGAAATGTAGGAAATAATTAAATAATTCCGATCGGAATCCACTTCGAATAATTCCATATACAGGGTTGGCCATATTCGACGGAAAGATGTTTTTTTTTTCAATCATGGGAAACGTCGTTACTCGATCTAACATCTCTGTCAAAAGTTAGTGTTGCCAGATCTTTTCGTCGAATATGGCCAACCCTGTACATACTGGATGCTTACTTCTTCTTACGAGACGCGCGTTTATCTCCTGACGGAGCCGCATATTTACCCCTTGAAGTATTACAGCAATGTATTACAATATCTTCTATAAAATATTAAAATTATTATATTAAGAATCTCTTTATTTTTAGACCGCATAT